ACCTTCAGAACTGTAGTCAATTATAGAGGGAGAGTAAACACGTTATTCCTTTCTGCTGTTTAGTATATTAGCTATGGTTGGTCACATATAGCCTTTATCGTGGTGAAGTACACTGCCTCTATTCCTACTTTCTTCAGAATTTTTTTATACAAAGGATGTTGAACTTGCTCAAAGGCCTTTTCTCATCTCAATTGCAGTGAGTGTGTTTTTTTTCCCCCTTGATTCTGTTGACGTGGTATCTTACATTCGTTGGTAATCCATCACAATGCATCTGTGAGGAAGCTCATACTCCCCTGGCTGAGTGGGAGGTTAAACCAGAGCGTGACCGGCTCTGGAGAAGGCCACGTTCCACCAGGCTATCCCATCCTCTCACACAGCAACCCCACATCATAGGTGGCAAAATGGTCAACTTGTGGAACATTCTCCATCCCCAAACTCAACTACTACTTGTAACAACTAAAATGAAAACCACACTGTTTCTAGGGCACACAGATGATCTGGATAACGTTTTTCTTGAGATATGATTTCTCATTCGTTCTCTGGCTACAATGATTGCATGTGACACCATCTAATTTGTCTTTCAGCTTCTCCAGTGCAAAGTGACCGTGATGCGGTACACTCACATTCACACGCATGTTCCCTTGGAAGCAGCACAGGCTCTACAAGGACCATGTTTGTTTGGATAACTTTAAACAGTATTTTTTTCTTTCCATTAAACAATTTCCAAATAGCTAGCAATCACAAAATGAAGAATTTCTTTAAAACTTCCTTTGCTATGGAGATGATACATCTTAACTGTATTATCTTGCAGACAAAGTTATAGAATATTGGATGGTGACTGTTTTTCATAAGAGGTTTTCAAAGAGCCCAATGGTTGGCTTACGTCTATGGTTAATTGAGGTCTGGGGACAGATTCCCAAGAGATACTCCTTGATAACTACCCAAATATGGGGCACACAGAAGCTATGGAATAACTTGATCCAGTCCAGATGGTAGTGGGCCTCACACATGTTCTCAAAGACACGAACCTGGGGTGCAGCAGGGATGTAGCTAGGTCTTCTTCAGGACTGTGAGATACCAGTGGGTAGGTTTCTCAAGACAAGAGAAAGAGCTCTGGGATACGGAAAGTGGCCATAGCTACTTGAAGCTACCTCGGCAGCAAAAAAGGGAGTGTAGAGGAAGAATAGTAGCTTGCTTAATAATCAAACCATGGCTTTCTACGCAGGAAGTTAGCAGGAGCTGTTCATTCCATCCCTGAACCATGCATTTGCAGAAGAGACCTTCCAAAAGCAAGAGTGTGAAAGATTGCTTCACGTGAAAAGTAAGGATGCTTTTCTAGCTGAATCACAAGGAATAAAATATATTTCCTCTACAGATGGAAGCAGCAAGAAGTAAACAGTAAGTATCTAGTACAATAGGCGTTGCGTAATTGTCTAGAAGGGCTGAGTGGGTTCTTATTGGAGAGTGGCATCAGCAGAAAGCTCCTGTGTTCTCGTGTGTCCTCAGTCCGTGTCTGGCAGGGGATGCGTGGAGAACACTGGCTGCCTCTCCCGTGGCTCTTCTGCACGGGGTCACATAAACCCAGGTAAAAACGCAGCAGAACAACGCAGGCAAAGGGCTCTTCAGGTTAGTGGATGCTGACACCGCCTATCATTACAGTTACCATTACTGTATTTTTTCATTGGGGAAGGCAATAATGCAGCTTCACCCATGCATTTTTTGTGATTCCTGTACTTTATGTTGGGAATAGCACTATATATATTTTTTTCCCCACAGTACAAAAAACAGCTTGCTAACAATGAAATTATATATTTTATGCTGTTTTAATTCAGAGTTTAAAAAATATTTTAACTGTTATTATAAAGGTGCTGTACAGGAGGGTTGGAATTCTGTAAGTCAGGTAGAGAGTGCATTTCTTTCTGGACAGTATCACCCCTTCCCTTGCCCTCCAATTACCTAAAAAAACCTTGCTCTGCAGTAGGGCAGGGAGAGGTCTCTGCAGGAGCATTCTGCCTACATTCTTATAATAGGGCCTGCTTATTATCATTCTACCAGAACATTCCCAGTTTCTTTGACTGTTAATCACTCTGAATTCAGGCTTGTTCAATGGAAAAAATTGAATATGCTGAGTTATTGGTAGGAAAGGTGACAACTGATAAAGGAAAGGTGTCACCTATTGTAGCAGAGTTAAATTCCCTCTTTTCCTCTGTGTGTGTGGTGTGTGTGTGTGTGTGTGTGTGTGTGTGTGTATAAGGGGTTTGAACTCAGGGCCTGGGTGCTGTCCCTGAGCAATGTTGTTCAAGGCTAGTGTTCTACCACTTAAAGCCACAATTCCACTTCTCGTTTTGAGTGGTTAACTTGAGATAAGCATCTCACAGGGACATTTCTGCCTGGGCTGGCTTTGAACCATGATCCTCAGACCTCAGCCTCCTGATTAGCTGGGATTACAAGCATAAGCCACTAGTGCCCAGCTCTTTTCCTTATTTCTAAGTGAGCCACAATCACTAGCATTATCCATTTGAGGCCTGAAACATGTGTTTTAAAAAATCATCTTTAAGTAGTTGTACAAAGGCGTTGCAATTTAACAAAGCAGTTTATGAATATGAGTCTCTTGATCAGTATCACTCCTTTCAATATTCTCACCTGCCCCTCCCCTCCACACCTCTTCCCCCACTCTTCTTCTTCAACATATGTTGAATTCTTGACAGCATTCATGCGTGTACTTTGACAGAAAATATTTTGTATGCACTGTTTGTGCTTCATTTAGTCAAGATTGTTTATATGACTGCTTAAATTTATGTTTGGATTATAATTTTTGTATATTACACTAGGTTTCATCAATAGTTATTATTATTTTAAAGCAGTCAAATAAACCTCATAGATCAAATAAGAATGCAAACATCGATTTCCTGTTTGCAAGATACTGATAAAATCAAGATATTCCAAATGAAAACACAGGATTCACTTTTGCCACATAGTCTATAAAATTTATAGTATTTTCGATATGAAAAGATCACATACCTAATCTTCACTGTGAAACAATGACTTCATACTTGAGAGAAGGTTCATATAAGCATAGAAACATGAATAATTGATTCTCAAGTTACATGCCAGATAGTGCTGGAAGTTTATCATTTGTAGTGGATATTATTTTGCAGTTTTATGAATGTCTACTTCCAATTCTACTTATACTTATTGAATCTACCATAGTTACTACCCCTTGTATGTTAATTTGTACTGTATTTTACATGCTATAAACGAGCAGCATGGATGATAACTTTGGAGGCCATCTCTCCCATCATTTCACTCTCCCGGGGGTAACAAGCTGCATGGTGATAGACGGACGCACCATCAGCTGGGAAGACAGAGGTAAGAGCCACTGGAAAAGCAGCCCGGGACCCAGAGGCACCCAGGGTCTCTGGTATCTGAAGGAAACAAAATACTCAAAGTACAGATTGTTGCCAAAAGTGCTTGTGACTATTCCCTGCAAATGACACTTAGAGCTCTCTTCTCTGTCAATCACATGTGATATGTTAGCTTTATTGTCTCAAATTCAAGAAGGCATAAAAACATAAAATGGGATACAAGTATTTAAAGAATAGTATCAATAGTGAGCATAACACTTCAAGCATTTTTCTGCATAAAAAAGAAAAAGCATTCATGTTAATTTTCAAGATACACAAATGAGGCTGGGCACCGATGGCTCTCATCTGCAATCCTAGCTACTGGGGAGCCTGAGATCTGAGGACCGTGGCTTGAAGCCAGCCTGGACAGAGAAGTCCCTGTGAGACTCTTACCTCCAACTAACCACTCAAAACCCAGAGCGGGGCTGTGGCCCTAGCCGTGAACAAAAAGCTCAGGGACAGTGACTAGCCTTCAACCTACCAAAAAATACATACATTGATTCACTGATTGAGGATTGGGTGTTTGTGAGGTATTCCTCTTTAGACAGATGAGAAGGTAAGTCTTCACCTGTCCCGAGAAGAAGCAATGTATAGTGGCCTTACGACAGCATCTCTGCCAATAAAGGATCTTGAAAGCCATTTATAGGGCTTTATCCAACACCTCTAAAATGTTTTAATAAATTTTTTAATTTACAAATTGACACAAAACTGTTTCTTAGGTGAATTAAAAAGAATATTCAAGTGACAAAAAAGTTTAAAATCATTCTCAGAATCAAATGCAAAGGCTGAATAGAACATAAATTGTGGAGTAAAATGCAATGATGGAGGAAGTGACCTACACCACCTGGCTGGATGTTCAGGGGATGCTCTGGGTGGGGAGGTATAGGAAGGCGAGACGCAAGGAGGTCAGAGCGGTGCCAGTGCTCTGGCCCTCAGCTTCCTGGCAGCCAGGATTCCAGGTGTGAGCCACTGGTACCCAGCTCAGTGAAGCATCTTTTATTTGGGTGAAATTAGTCATCAAATTGAATTTTTAACTATATATACATAGAGCCTTCTTGCTGCAGCTGAAATAGTTCAATTATCAAATCAACAGAATATCTATGGGTAGCTTTCTCCTGGGATCTCTTTGGATTTTGTTAAGGTTACAAGTCCCAGGATAACAGATTTTCTGGTTAAGTTTTATTTCTCGGCCGGGGATGTGGCTCAAGTGGCCGGTGGTGTGGTGAAGGTCTGAGTTCAAACCACAGGACTGCAAAAATAAAAAAATAAACAAAAAACAAGGGACCAATATCTTACTGTACATTAAGATAAAAATATGAGGCAAAATTTATTGACAAGAGATTGTTTTCAGCCAAAAGAACTAAAAATACTCATTTGTCTAAATCAAAATAACTGTAGGACATGACTTTTTAAATTTCTCGGTGGAATTTTGTTTAAATGGTCACTTTTCTGGGAACCTTTAGTTTTAGAATCCTGACTTTAAGTAAATGAAAGAAGAGATACTGAGAAACGAATCCTGTCAGCCAAACACCTAATTCTCCATATTATTTTGCCTTATCAAGTTTTCAGTTAAAACAAAAAAAAGCAAATGAGAACATGAACCCGCAGAACAAAACATCAACCGATTTCATCCTCCTGGGGCTCTTCCCTGGCTTCAAGTATCCTAACCTGCTGATCCTCACGGTTCTCCTCATCTACACCATTGCCTTTGCTGGAAATTCCATCCTGCTCCTCCTCATCTGGCTGGACTCCCGCCTCCACACCCCCATGTACTTCCTGCTCACTCAGCTGTCCATCATCGACCTGGCCTACATCTCCAGCACAGTCCCCAAGACCGTCACCAACTATTTCACAGGGAAGAAAAGTATTTCCTATTTGGCCTGTGCCTCTCAGATGTTCTTCTTCCTCACCCTTGGCCTGGCCGAATGCATCCTCCTGACCCTCATGGCTTATGACCGCTATGTAGCTGTCTGTAATCCCCTGAGATACACAGTGCTCATGAGCCCCAGAGTCTGCCTACAGATGGCTGTGGCAGCCTGGACTGGTGCAGTTCTCGCAGCCCTTGTCCACACGGTCTATCCAATGCATTTCCCTGTCTGTGGCTCCCGGGAGATCAGTCATTACTTTTGTGAGATGCCTGCTATTCTGAGAATGTCTTGTGTCGACACATCAGTCTATGAGATGGTCAAATTTGTCTCCACCATTATCTTTCTCCTGGTCCCGTTTGTTCTCATTCTGGCCTCCTATGTTCTCATCTTCCTCACTGTCCTTAAGATGAACTCTCGCAATGGGAAGAAGAAAGCTCTGGCTACCTGCTCCTCCCACCTGACTGTGGTCAGTCTCTACTTCGGCCAGGCCATCTTCATCTACATGACCCCCAGCTCATCACACACGCCGGAGCAGGACCAGATAGGAGCCGTGCTCGGCACCATCGTGACCCCCATGCTCAACCCCATCATCTACAGCTTGAGGAACAAGGAGGTGGTGGGAGCGCTGCAGAGATGCACGGGAAGGTGCTGCGGGGAGGAGCAGCCCCTGTTTCTACAGTGCTGTTCTCAGAAACGCGCCAGCCTCAGTCTGAAGACTACCCATGGCCAATTTTAATCCTGAGACAGTTTTTTTTCATATTGGAAATAGAACACTGTATGTGTAAGAGAAAAGGTGGCAGGGTTTATGTCCGTTGACCCAGATTTGTTTTAGTCCCACAGTGGTGGATTTCATCGAGTACAATATTAGTGTCACTTGTTGGCCTGCTAGTCTGACAAGTCCTGTATGGATAGTGGGTGGATTTTTGGACAATGATATCTGTGTAGAGATACATATTCTCTATCTCCTTTCTGAGCTTTGACAAGATCCAGCAATGATTTGATGTTCTAGAAAGGAAAGACTTGGCTTATGTTTGCAATGTAAAAAGCATCTTATCTATTCTTTCATTCATTCACCTGTTCACCCTTGATGCCCATCACTCAGTCTTCCCAGTCCAAAGAAAACCCAGGTCCTTATAAATCTTCCTATATAACCATCCCTTTGTCCAAATTCGTTTTCCTTCTAAGTTAAAATACGTAAGTAGATGCATGTAATTAGAAACCAGAGAGGAGAATTTAGGGAGCTATTTTTTTTAAAATACCAATTTCTTTTTTCTTTTCTCCTAGATGCAAGGCTATATGTGTAATAATCAAATAAGGGCGAACAGGACCTCAAATAAAGGATATCAGTATAGCAACACCCAAACATGGTTAAGTCTTGTTATTAGAACATTTAAAGTTCTCTCTGTTGTAGTTGTTTGAGAGATGCAATCACTCATTTTAATCTGTAGTCGCCTATAACAGCGCCTTCTCCCATCCGGCTTCTGAGCCAGCCGCACACCTCCCCTCTGCGATGCCACGGGGAAAACTCTCCCCCTCACAAGTCCGTCTTCAGTCTTGCGGGACCCAGGAGCCGCTGCTCTTCCTGGGAATTCTGTGTGGGGCTCCCATTGCGGGACTTCACGTGTGATGAATACTGTTCCTTCTGTACTTGGGTCTTCCAGGCTCGTTCCTGTTGTCTTACTGTGTGTCATGCTCTGTGAGACTCACTGTCATCCCATTATACTGTATATGCTTTACTGCATTGCGTGTGTGTGCGTGCGTGTGTGTGTGTGTGAGAAGAACACTCTTTCTGGGGCTGGGAAGGTGGCTCAGTGGTAGAGCGCTTGCCTTGCATGCATGAGGCCCTGGGTTCGGTTCCTCAGCACCACATAAGCAGAAAAAGTCGGAATTGGCTCTGTGGCTCAAGTGGTAGAGCGCTCGCCTTGAGCTGAAGAGCTGAGGGACAGCGCCCAGAGCCAGACAGAGCTCAAGCCCCACGACCGACAAATAACAACAGCAGCAACAACAACAGCAACCATAAAACCACCAAAAACGATCTTTCTAGAGCTAAGTGTGCGGGCCTTCGATCACTTACTCGGTGTGCGCGTGCGCAGGCGTCGCTCCGGGGCGAGGTCTGGGCTGACGGGTGTTACAGCTGACCGCGCGGGCGGCTCGACGCCTCACCCCTCCACCGAGGCCAGCCGCCGTGCTGAAGAGCGCCTCCCCGGCCTCGCGCATGCGCGCCTCACCCCTCCACCGAGGCCAGCCGCCGTGCTGAAGA